ACCCGAAGGCTCTGTGTCGGAGGCTGCCCTAAATGTTCACTGTTGCAGAAAATGTGCTCGGGAAACCTCAGAAATCTCTCGCCAGCAGTGGGGGAGCCCCCTCGCCAGACTGGCCTTTCCCTCCCTGGCGATCTTCTTTCGGCAGAAGCCGCCCCGCATTTGCATACACTTTGAAGAGCACTGGGGAATCTTCCGCCGCCTGGGATAATGAGTATTTTTTATTCGTGGCCACAGTGCACCAGTCTGAGCTTCCAGCAACTCCGGGTGTCCTGTGTCTGCAGTCGGAAGGCATTCACCGGACCTCCCGCTGAAGCTGCAGCGAGTCTGGGAAGCGGGAATGTGCCGCTCCTTCAGGAGCCAGTTTACGGAAAGCGGGAAGGGCGCCGATACCTCGTGGAAGGGCGCCGATACCTCGTGGAATGTGCCGCTCCCTTCAGGCCTCGGAGCAAGCAGACGCCCATTTGCAAGACGCGGGGAGCCGCTGGGAAGCGCTGGCTTGGCTGCAGTGCTCATGCATGGCTCAGCTTGAGACCGGATGCCTGTTTGCCGTGGGGCCAGGCTGGAGGTTCGGCTAGTAGAGGGTGAAGCCCTAGATAACTTGGGACTAGGAAATGTGGCCGAGCTCCCGCTGCCTTGCTACCCTGCCCGGTCCTCGGGTGGCACGTCTCTTGCGATTCCACATGGCCCTAGAGTCCCCGGCAGAAGAGCCTTCGGGATGGGGCGCCGTTTCCCTGGAACTCCCTGCCTCTGGAGGTCAGGCGGGCACCTACCTGGTGTTATTTTTGCTGCCCGCTGAAAGCACTCAGTTCGGGAAGCTGTCCAAAATCGGCTAGCAGTGGTATTTATCGAGAGCTTGTGTGCCTGCGGTTTTTAAAAAATTAACACGGTGTTTTATTTTTATCTTTTTGGTACACTGCGCAGTAAAATACTGACACATCTTCATAAAACGATTGAGTGCTTGAAGCCACGGATGCGCATCTTCTGGTGCGGGCGGACAGGACGGGGCCTGATCACTAAGACCTGCTTGGACCCGGCGCTGGGGCCTGCGGCGCAACTCTGTGAGCGCGAAGCAAAACACCGCGGGGGCATTTGGGTCTGCGTGTGCGCGGCACGCAGGGCTGGCTGCGTCTCCGGAGTCGGCATCGTCTTGTGTTGCTAAGAGCGCGGCAGCCACTGCCGGAGGATTGTCGCGTGAGTACAATTCAGCACAGCCTGCAGATGCGCGAAATCCCGATAGGCCTCCCGATCTTAGTGCAACTGTTGTTGTTGGATCGCTTCCCCCCATGATGGAGTGGCAGAGCATGCGCATCCTTTCCCAGCAGGTAACAGTTTAACGCCCAGAAAAGCCAACTTGTGTTTGAAAACTTTCCAGTTCCTAGCCTCTTTGGGCCTGTTTGCATAGACGCCCTTCCTTGAGTCAGTCGGCTTTTGAATGTTTGAGCCATGGGTCATAACAACTGGTGCAGAGCATAATTGCAGTTGCAAGCAAGTCGGGAGAGGGTGTGCTTGCGTTGCAGCTGCACTGCGGCCTGCGAGGTACCGGAGGCGTTGGAGGCGGCCCTCACTCCCCCCAGTTCCGTCCATGCCAGCCAGGGGGGCTGGCGGCTGTACTTCGACCCAGCCAGAGAGTTCCAGGCTGCGGAAGGCTGCGCCAGCCCCACTTCCTAGGAATGGGGGCGGGGGGACTGCAGTATTAATGCTCTCTCCATCTGAGGTGCCTTCACTACTCCCAGCTTGAGCTTGGGGCTTGTAGGACGTCCACCATGGTCTTACTTTTTGTAAGGTACCTTGGTTTTCCTGTGTGAAACTAATCCCCGAGTAGAAACTGGCTCAGGACCAGATTGTGAAGCGTAGCCGCTCTTCCTGCGCGGGGAGAGTGGGAGAAGACGGCAGTTTGGGTGAGGCATTTGGGCCTCGAGGTGAAGCAGTGTGAACATTGGCTTGCTTGCCGCTTTCGGGAAACAATGTTTTGGATCCCATAGCACGGGGTTGCAGCTCTCCACACGGAGAGAGGTGTGTTGTGGAGACTGATCCAGAAGGGAGCTGAAGCCAGCAGCAAGTAATTAGACGCGTGGTATTGGACTATATAATTAGACCATGAAAGTTCAGTTGCAGGGTGTATCTGCTTGCGGGCATCTGCTGAATGCATTTAGAACCGAGGCTTTTGTGAGAAAAGTTCTAGACCTTCAAAAATAGCCTCCAATTTTGTAATCTCTTGCTTTAAAAACTGGGCAGGAAGAGAATCGACTAACTTGGGATAAAGGCTTTAGGGCCTGGTTGTAGGGCTTTAGACCCAAAGTCCTACAGCTCCCAGTATGTCCCAGTCGGGGCTGTTTTTCCCCCAGATGCCTAACCATGCATCAGATTGAGCCTTAAACAACTCGACTTTGCCCGTCTGTTGATCCTGCTAGTGAGTCCCCTGCCCTGGCTTATCCTGACGTGTAGACATTTCTCTGCCACAGTGAGTCCGGTGTCTGCGAGTGCAGCGCAGTCGATGCCCCTCCGCGCCCACTGTTGGTGGGGTTCTGCCATGCCCGCCGCTGGATGGATCTCTCCCATGCTCAGATGCGCCTGGTGTAGACGCCTTGTCTGGCTCGGTGCCAGCCCTATCCAGCCTGCCAGCCCCCGGGTCCTTTGGACCTTGGTTCCCAGCACTCCCTGGCCCTTGGCTGTTCTTGCTGGGGCTGATGGGAGCTGAAGTCCAAAACATGGGGGCAGCATTCTGTTAGGAAAGCCTCCGGGCAGCGTGTCCATGTTGCGCAATAGGGTGACGTCGCAGGACCTCTTCCCGTCTGCACAGCTCGCCGAGTTTCTTCCTTTCTGAGAGGCCTTGGGTGTCGTGTTTTCTCGACTCGAGGGCTCGGTGGATGCAGCATCTTTTTCTTCCCCGTGAATCAGGGTTTCTCCTCCTCCTCTTCCTTCCTGTCTGTGCTCAGTGATTCCTACTCATGGCTTAATGAGTTCTCTTTGCCTTCCTTTCCTTCTGTCACCCCCTCACGCAGCACGTAACGCGCCTTGAAATGCTTGGTATTTACAATGCGTGGGAGCCAGGGCAGGGCACGCAGCAGAGGAGCCAAGCCAGGCAGATCTGTTTGCTCCCTGAACGGACCACCTGGCCGCCCCGTGCGTGTCCCCCCGCGTTCTGTGGAACAACAGTGGGGTGCAGATAGAACAGGTAACTTACTGGACAGCATCGCTTGAACATTCAGGCCACAGATGCGTCTGTTAGGAACCCTCCCCACACCAGAGAGCCCCATCATATTGACCCCATTGCTTATCGTTTATGTAAACTATAGTCTACATTGTGAGAAAGCTACTTCTGAAAACTCGCAGAATGATCCCTTGTAAAATAACGGGATGAGATGATGGGGCATGTTTCAGCAGTGTGGTCAGACACCCATGGCGTGCACCGTGCTTTCGCTGCAACCTCCAATTCAAGGAGGCGTTATTAAAGGTCAGCACTGGGGGGGAATAAAAGCGCTCCCCCACCTAGACTGGGAATGGTCTTTCGTCTTGGAGAACCACATCTCTTAGGACATTAATCTCTTGGGCCTCTTGCTGCCTGCCCGCCCGCCCGCCTTCTTCCGCGCCCGGGTGGCATGCTGTTTGAATGGCAAAAAAGGGAAATGGAAAGCTCCCATAAATTTGGCTGCCACCTTCCTTTTATAGACTGGAAGCCCGAAGAAGACCATCATATGGCGCTCGGGGGAGTGGCATTCATTCCCTCCCCACTCCTTCCCGAATCAAACCTTGCTTCCCAAACCCTGGTGTGACCCCGTCTCTGAGTAACGTCGCGTTTTAAGCAATCTGTGTGAGAAGCAGGTGGTGCGTGGGGGCAGTCCCAGCGCTCCGTGCTGTTCCGTTCACACGGATCGCGCTTTCCCCCTTGCGCACAAAGGTGCAGCAGACCTGCCATGCATCCTGCCCGTGGGGTCTTGCGGCCCCTTGTGATGGCGCCGTCTCTGCAGCACGGCTGAGCACAGTGTCCCCTTCCTTGCCTGGCTTTGGAGACGGGTTTCTTGAGCCTTATTTTTAAAAGCTTGGGGGTTTGGGCAACACAACTGGTGTACAGTGTGATTTATTCTTCAGCTAGAAATTTTTGACTGAGAGGGTTTAATTACATTTCACATGTGAATGCATATGATTGCCCGTTTCCCCTGCTGAGTTTTGAGCAGAGGAGTCATGGATGGGGAAAGACGCAAGTTCTCCGTCCTCTGCTTCTCCCCTGCAAATCACCCTTTCTTTCTTTCTTTCTTTCTTTCTTTCTTTCTTTCTTTCTTTCTTTCTTACTTACTTACTTACTTACTTACTTACTTACTTACTTACTTACTTACTTACTTATTTATTTATTTATTTAGAAAATTTCTATGCCATCCCATTCGCCGAAGCCTCGGGGCGGCTCGCAAATATATCAATTAAAATATTATACAATAAAAATATAAAACAAGTTAAAAAATATAAAATAAGTCGCCCTGGCTGAAGAATAAAATAAATAAATAGTATTAACAGTTAAAATGACTTTTGAACAAAAAGGTCTTGGGCTAGCGCCGACAAACAAATAACGACGGCGCCAGGCGGACCTCTCTGGGGAGCGCATTCCATAGGTTGGGCGCCACCGCAGAGAAAGCCCTCCTCCGAGTACTCACCCTCCTAATTTCCTTCACGGAGGGTTCCCGGAGAAGGGCCTCTCCCGCAGATCTCAAGGGGCACGCGGGCATATATGGACGTAAGCGCTCCTTCAGGTAGCCAGGACCCAAGCCGTTTAGGGCTTTATAGGTCATCACCAACACCTTGAATTGAGCCTGGACTTCAATGGGAAGCCAGTGAAGCTGATGGAGGACTGGAGTCATGTAAACATAACGCCCAGTCCCCGTCATCAGCCTGGCAGCCTGTTCCCGTTCTACCTTTCCACGGAGAAGCAGGGCTCCTGACTCGCAGCTGGGTTTTACTTTCATTTAGTTTTCAAAGCTGCAGTCCTGAATGCGCTTAACTTCCGAAGACGTCTCCTTGAAGTCAGTGGAATTCGTGTCAAGTAAACACGGTGTGGATAGGGACACAGAATACGTCCTGCGTAAGTAAGAGGCTTCTTGATCGATGTCATTCTAAGAGCCAGGCCGGAAATGTACGGTACTTCGTCTGTCGGACGCACCGAATGCTGCCGTGTCGTTGGCTTTCGCTTGCTCCTTTTTACTGGGGGTAATTAAAAGTGTTTCTCTGTCTTGTGAACTGAGGCTTTTCCTGCTGTTCGTAGCTTGTGAGGCATTGCATTCCTCTTACACGGAACATTAAAATAGGAATCTCGTTTTGGCCTCCCTTTTTAACTACTGGTGCTTTAAAACGTGGGCGATTTGTGTTAACTTGCGGTGTGGAATGCTACCTTGCATAGAACTAGTTGCGCATCTTCCTTGCTGTGCATTGTGCAATTTTATGTTACTTTTATTATGCCACTTAGTGTATTAAACCAGCCTTGCAGGTAGGTGCAAACATTTACTAGCTCACAAAACCTGCCTGCTCGAGTGTGTGTAGAAAAGCTTAAGTGATGGATTTGGCAAGCGACTCACCTGGAAGGGATTTTCACTTGCCTCTAGGGTGGAGTAGAGAAACTTTTTTATTTCCATCCAGGTTATTGTCCCTCAAAGTAACCTCTGGGGAGCGGGGCAGGGAGCAGTCAGGGCCAGAGCTGGGGTTGATAGGACCTGTTTCCCTCTTCTGGTTTCCTTTTCCCTTGCTTCCCCCAGCACCTGGACAGGGATGACTTTTGAAAGCAGGAGTCAAGCTGGAGCGGAGCACCTGCTGGGCCAGGAAGCGCACACAAGCTGTGAGCACATGGGTCTGCGTTGAGAAATGGCGCAAGCATCTTTATAGCCAGTAGTATTAACAGTTTTTACTACATTCCATGATTTGCTCTTTTTAATGCCTTCTTAAAACCTTAGAAGAACAACTGTGGGCTATGTCCCTATACACGAAAATATGCAAAATACATAGGTATGAATTGTATGTCTTGTTTAACCTGCATGGCCACTGTTATCTTGTGAACAAATATTAGAGGTAGCAATTAAGCAATTATTTAAAACCTCAGCCGAGTGGCTCATGAAACCGTCCTTCTTTTTGCTGAGCTCCAAGCTAAAAAACATGGCACCGAATCGAGTAAGGGAAATGCTCGTGGTTTCTAGCAGTCTGTTCTTAAAGACTGCAGTGCTGTTCACGTCTTTCTCTTGGGCTTCTGCTTCAGGAGATCTGTGTTTAAGCGGGTATCTGTGTCTAATGTCTCTGAATAAAGAGAAGCAGTGGAGGTGATCTTCAGCACTGGAGCTGATGCGTTTCTGTCTGTCCACGGTGCGCTTGATGCCTCCTGGCTGTCTTGATCGTTGGTCCTTGGAAGTGTGGAGCTCGTGATTCAAAACTGACTGTGGCACCATCTTCCCCGTGCCACCGGTTGCTGGCCATGCCCGAGGGGCCTCCCCGAGCCAGGACGTTGGGCCGCCCGCCTCTTTACCTGTGGGGATTCTGGTCTGGGTGAGGAAAGGGGCCCTTTTGCGTGAGTTGCAGAGCTGAGGGAATTGGCCGTCCCCGCGTGGGGCCTTCCGTTACGCTGGGGCAAATGCACATGGCGGTAGAAGGTTAGGATTGCAGCCCATTTGGGCCCGTCTGTGTCCGCTTGAAAGGTCACCTGATATTTTGGAATCTGCCTTCCAGACGAAGCCTTTGAGGCAAAGGCGGGGATTCCCGCAAAGGCAAAGCGACTGGCGTTCTCCTGGCTAGACCAGCGTGCCGTGGTTCGAGGCAGGAGCTGGCCGTAGGCGCGGGTGGCGCTCCGTGCTTCTGGCAGTGTCGCTGGCCGCCTGAGCCACGGCCCCCGGGAGGGGCGGGACCAGCTGAGCCGCTGCACAGCCAGCAAGGCCAGGGACCCCTTGAAAGTGCGGGTCACGTTCCAGCTGGGGAAACAAGTCATCAGATCTTGAGTGGGGGGTGGCTGAGCGGCTTCAGCGACCCTAAGCTGACAAGCTGGTGCAGCCGTTTAGCAGCTCCCTGTCCTTTAGAAGTCAACTTGCTTGGGTGTTCTCGTTCTGATATTTTCAACGAGCAGCTGCTGCGTGAAATTTAATTTTGATTCCTGCTGCAGTTGCAAGTTCGTTGGCTCTGTAGGGAATCCTGTTTTTGCTGAGTTTTCAAGTTTACTTAGTGATTCATTGCTAAACTAGTAATCCGCTATGGTCTCGTTAAAAAGGCTCATTTCCTACTAATGCAATTCTCCATGCTTAATTAAAATAACTTACTGTTTATTGTTTTTCTGTTCAATGCACAATTTTTGTTGTCAAGGAACAGTCTTGACAGCAGCTTTGAGATCTTGATGTGTGATGCACTTTGATGAAAGGGAGAATCGGGGGAGTGCTTTGACTGCGGGGCAGTCTAGAAATACAATCACAACAGCAATAGTAATGTCGGTAGGGAGGCGTGCATAGACCTTGCGGTCCTGGTGCTGGCCCAGGGATCGTTCTGGATGGGCACTGCTCTCTTCCCCAACCGGGTGCCCGGCCGGTATTTGCTGCTTCCGCTTCCAGCAGCCCCAGATGTCTTCTGAGCAGACGGACGTTGTCCTGGGCTGCGGAGGCCTGTGTAGGGTGGTGCCTGGTCTGTGATTCCTTTGTCGTGCATCCTGCGCCTGTGACTGGGAGGAATGTCCTACATTTGTTGTGTAGATAAGCCCTTAAAGAGGAGCTGTCAACACTTCTGGGAGGGGAGGAAACCACTTCCGTAGAACCGGCTCGAGCGAGAGACGCAGAGCAGTGTCATGTCGCCTGCGTGTGCCGTTCTCGCCTGGCACTTTTATGAAAGGTGTTATCTGTGTCCGCATTCTATTTATAGATGGTTTAAAGGGGGGAACTTTTTATTTTGCAGCTTCTGTTTTCTTTCCGTGGGTCTAGAACAAAGCAATTAATTGCCTGTAACAGAACCGAGGACATCGCTGTTGTTTTTTCTTTCTTTTTTAGGCCAGCGTTTCCAGTTTCTTTGGTCGCTTTGACTAGAGGAGGAAATGACTTTACCAGGACTCACACCAAGCTGGTCACGGTGTCATCCTATCACAGGGACTTACAGCACAGAAAAAACTGTGGCCCATCTCTAAGGGCCTTTTTCTCAGGAGGGAGCTGGCTTGGCTAGGAGAAGGTAAACATGACCTCGATTAGGCGGCAGATGAAGAACATTGTGAACAATTACTCCGAGGCGGAAATAAAAGTTCGGGAGGCGACCTCAAACGACCCATGGGGTCCTTCCAGCTCCTTGATGACTGAAATCGCGGATCTGACCTACAACGTCGTGGCCTTTTCTGAAATCATGAGCATGATCTGGAAGCGGCTGAACGACCACGGCAAGAACTGGAGACACGTCTACAAGGCACTCACCCTCTTGGATTACCTGATCAAGACCGGCTCGGAGAGGGTGGCTCAGCAGTGCAAAGAGAACATCTTTGCCATCCAGACCCTGAAGGATTTCCAGTACATCGACCGGGACGGGAAGGACCAGGGCATCAACGTGCGGGAGAAGTCCAAGCAGCTGGTGTCCCTTCTGAAAGACGATGACCGGCTCAAGGCAGAGCGGGCCCAGGCCTTGAAGACCAAAGAGCGCATGGCACAGGTAGCCACCGGCGTCGGCAGCAACCAGATCACCTTCGGCAGGGGCTCCAGCCAACCCAACCTGTCCACCAGCTACTCGGAGCAAGAGTATGGCAAATCCGGAGGCTCTCCGGCGTCTTACCACGGGTGTAAGTACGGGTTCCTGGCTGGGTTGCGGGGCTCCTTCAGAGTTCCGACTCTCTTCTCATTTCTGGATGCGTCACAGATGCCTTAAAATGCTCGCGAAGTGCCGGTGATGTGAGGGAACACGCGGAACTGGAGAGGCCCGCGGTGTCGATCCAGTTCATTCAAGCAAATTCTTCAGTTACGCTGTCACAGGGCTCCTTCTGGTTCTCCGCAGCCACTCACCGAATGTTGCTCCATGTGTATTATCAGTATTTCTGTGCTCTTAGAATCCAGGGCTTCCTGCCTGAAGCGGTGACGAGAATCTTACTTTTTTTCAATGGCCTGTTAATAGTCGTAGCTCATTATCTGGCTTTTGCTGCGACAGTTTCTCCAAAACCAAACGTGCTCTAGATTTTACTGTCCAGCAGTTGTCGTGTGTGCCAGCATGCTCGCCCACAAGCAGCGAAAATCAATACTCCCCTTCCGGAAGGCCCCTGTCTTCTTTGTTCTCTTTCGCTTACTGGTTTCCATTCATGTACATTCCAGTAAATTAATTGAGGATGAAATCTGCAACCTTTTGTTTCCAGAAGCTAATTCCTGATCAAAGGCTGGAAACATTGCATGGGTATTGAGTTTCTGCTGGAATGTTGCTGGTTTGGAAAGGGAGTGCTTACCCTTGTTTAATATCCTGTTCTGGGGGTGGGGGGGGGTAGGTTGTAACCATTTAAATGGAAAATGGCTATTCTTGGCACATCTCCCCCTCCCCTCCCCTCCAGTAAATTAATTGGAGAAAGGGTACGCACTCCCCTCCGTCCGAGCTGTGGCCCCTGGTAA